ATCGTAAATATAAGGCTGTATAATGTCCGTGTAAAATTCTGACGGTTTATATATCTCGTCCGGTATCTATGGTCCAGCAACAATGCATCACCTGCGAATGACGCGTATCGCGCCGTCATGCTACGGTCACAATTCGTAAAATAACGATATAATCAACTACAATAAAACACTATGTAAACCGCGATATTGCACTTGAACAGAAACTGGTGTGTAACAAATTACTGTTGTATTTTTTTTAAATATGTTTCTGTAAGATAAAACGCCCAATGATTGGCAGTTTAAAGACCTGTCGACTTTTTTTTTGAAGATATCAACTAAAGGATTCTAAAATAATGTTGTCACAAAGAACCCACAAATTAATTCTACCTCACTTTGTCAAAGAAAACATAACCACAGACAAAAATGTTAACAATTAAAAACAAATCAATAAATGTCAATCATTGGAGAGATGCTAATTACAAGTTCTGCTATTCTACATGCGCGCAACAAAATTTTTTTTTTCAATAATAGAGAGATTTGAAGAAAAAAGTGTAGTTTTTGAAGTAATTAGTTCACTTTTTAATTTATATTTGTCATAATGATGTTTCTTGTTGCAATCATATTAATATATATATATATATATATATATACACATATATATACGGTAAGGCGACTCGACTGGAAGCTTAAGAGATTAAAACGCGGTCCTGAGTTTTATATGCGATGTGTTTTTTTTTATTACTAACACACACGAGCTAGGTCAAACGAGAGAGAAGCTCAAAACACTGTAAGAGGATAGCCCGCTGACATAAAGAAAGTAAGAATATCATGAAACTCTGGTATTTCATGGCTGTCGACCAAGAGAGCGAACTGGCAGGCCGACGGAGGCAGCAACGCGACTATATGGCAAAGTAACGTATCGGAAAGTGAGAAGGAAGACAAGTAAAGGAGAACGAAGGAATGCGTTTTCACGATACGGTCCGCTTTTCTCGGCGAATGAAAAGCAAACAGAGAAGTCGCGTCTTACCTCGATTCCACGACGTTCCATCGACCTACTGGGTACGTCGCTCTCTCCTAGCGTCTCTTTTTTTTTCTTTTATTTCATTCCGCTTTTCTTTCTTTATCCTACGTTCACAATTCTCAGAACACCTCGCGTCATTCTTTTCGCGAATGCAATAACCGTTGCGGTGAAAAAAGGATGGAAAGACTGGAGGAAAGAGAGACGCCTCCCACAGCAAACACGCCAGGAGAAACTCTATGTTCTTCCGGTGACGCTCAATTATTACTCGTACACGGACCGGGTCAATCTCGGACTACTTTAAATTACTTACTCGGCGCGATATTCCCGCGGGAAGAGAAACTTCGCCGTGACTCTCCTCGGGGAAATTTCGTACGACAGATCGAAAACTAATTCGTCGCGCGCGAGGATCAAAACTTAGAACGGCGGAATGTTGCGGGCGATGATAACGAGAGATCAAGAGACGCGGCCGAGAAATGCGAGATGCATAAAAGACGATACTCGAGTAATTACTTTCGAAAGAGAGGAATTTTAGTGGCAGAAACGCGCGTGTCGATCGATACACGATAAAATGTATTGCCTCAAATACGGAATGAACGTACGAACGGGAGAGAAAAAAAATGGTCCTTTCGTCACTCAACGACGCAGCGCGTTATGCGTCGACTGGAACGGTGAACGATGCGACAATTTGACGCGTGAAACAAGCGAAGGAAATTGCCAGTTAGTTGAAAGTTCGATTTTTCTGAGGCAATACCGGTCGATTCACAAGACACGATGACGCGCGCGTTGATGGTAACGAGAAGTGACGGAAAAGGGGATTTGCAGGAAAAGAGAAAAAATGAAAGAGGTGCGAGCCGCGCGCATAGAACGGCCCGGGAGATCGTAGGAAATGAGATCTACAAGTGAGCGAACTGGACGGCGAGGGCGGGTGCGGTAGTGCCGAAATGCAATTTTCATCCGTCGGCTCTCGCACCGCAACGACTACAGCTGGCCAATTCTCTTCGTTCTCTTTCCTCGATTCTATCCCGTTGGTTTTTTTCTCCCACTCAGCTCGTGTCACCATTTCCTCGATATGTTTACCGGATTGATTGCGTTCGCGTAGACAAATAATTCGATATTACGATGAAATTCGTGCTCGCGAAATGCGTTACGACACGTAGCGCGTAGAGCGTGACGAGCGTGAGTTCAAATTTATCGGTTCGCCGCAGATGATTGCGCGATGATGAATCGCGTGACGTATCGCAATAATAAATATGTATTTACATATATATACGCGCGCAACTTCCCGAGAGCGTAGAACGTGTTTATTTTTTCCAACAAATTATTTTTTACGCACCCTCTCGTTGCACGACCCTTGTGCTAGGCGATATAACGAAAATCGCAAGGTACATGCAGGAACCAAAATGCACAGGCAGAAATTACAGGAGCGTAAGACAAGAAATAGAGAAGAGAAGAGAAAAAGAGAGAAAGAGAAATGAAAGAAGCGGAAGAATCGGAGTGAGAAAGAAAAGCAAAAACAGAAAAAAACGACCGACTGGTTACCACTTCATCTCGAGCGCAGTCGAGCTGCGGCTAATTAATGCACTTTTGTCGGTTTGCTGCGACCCTGCTCACGCTATGTGCGAGACAGAGGAATGAGGAAAAAAGGAAGGGCTATGATGGCTGAAAAGCAGATAGAAAAGTCTGCGTGTAGTAATAAGATTGCATTGCTCCGACTATTCGTTTTATAATATTCCGTATGTTAAGTTATGCGCAAATGAAAATTAAGCTCACACATATATGCACAAAAAAGCCAACTATAATAACAGAGAAATCGTTTGAGATAAAAGCAAAATAATATTAAGTAATACAATATTAAATGCAGCTTTGTATACTTCTAAAATTGCATGTGACATCAACAAACACATTTTAGGAAAACCTGTGAAAGCACGAGCACGAGAAAATATTTGGCAGGGTGGTTAAAAAAATGCAAATCATGAATTTGCAATTATATTGTACCGGCGAGTTTATGCATTAATTTATCTCGTCGCCTATCTCCGAAAGATGAAAGAATTACAAGTTTATAGACGGCACAAGGCCGTCGAAAGTTGATTACAATCCCTCAGTAATGCTGAAATTTATAAATAAATTCTTCTTAATTACTTTTTCTCCCCTTCATCTTGTGACGTTCTCTGTAGAAGCTATAAATTCACACTGTGAACATAGACCGGACACCGACGATGACACGTTCTTTGGCAAAACAATATTCATATTCATGAATCCATGTTAGATCTTTGCTCATCCGTAATCGGTTTATTAAAACTGACACGCGCACAACGCACAGAATAAAATAAAACGTTTTGCATATTTCTCGTTAATGTTAACAAAATTTTTGTAAATAATTATACGTAATTATCAATTTTAATTAATAATTTTATAAACAAGAGAATTCGAAATAATAATAATATAGAATTCGAAATAAAAATAATTTTGTTATTTTTATTATTATGACTGTACATGATTATCTCAAAATATAGCTGGATTTTTTTGTAAAAGAATTGTGACAAAAATATGTTACTAGAAATATGCGAAGCGTGCACAAATGGCCGTGTATTAATCATCGCTATGAGAAAATATCTTTGAAAATGTATATAGGACACAACTCCAAGAGCAACAAACTGACGATTATCTAGACCGTTATTTAAACAATTATCAGACAAAACTCCAATGCTCGAAAATTATCACGTTTTTTTGATGATTGATAAATTGTATTTCTGTGAAAAATTTCTCGAAGTATATGCAGTTTCATACACAATGCAGTTATCTCTAGTAGGAAGATTACTTATGTTTACATTACGTGCTTTATATATTCATGAAAAATAGGCTATAGACTCTGTGTTACATTGAAAGCATTTTACGTATTTTGCTAAAAATATGTTATACTAACTCTTTCAATAACACTTTTAATCCTTTAAAAGTGTTTTCCATTTTCACTCTAGAGCAGATATACGAGGACACTGTGTTACCGGCCATATATAAAATACACCAACTTGTCGGATTCATGGCGCTGACATGCTTGAATTATTTAATTGGACCATGCGGGTTAGTGCGTTGTTATAAATGCTGCGCGGTCTCGTGCGCATTAATTTTTGTAAACCTCTTTGAATCTGACAGTCTGGAGTAGTGTGCAGCGCGTAGATACGTTGTTTACAGTATCTTCTGTCTCGTGTTTTTGGACGAGAATAGAATGAAAATAAAGAAACTTCGCACTCGCACACACTGCGCTATTGACGCAGCAATTAAATAAGATTTATGATGATTTATGAAATGATAGGTGTATTGTTCTAATTACATCGACAATGCTGTTTTTCGCGTTATTTACATCGCGTCGATTATCCGTCATTACATGTTTCAACAAACTTCTATAAAAGCGTGAGCTTCGGTTATTTTATAGATGCGTATAGCAAAAATATTTATCGGGAAACGATAAACCGAACCGTAATGAGGTTTAATCAATTCCGGACATGTTAAAAGCGTATTGAAAAAAAAAAGACTCTCGGAGTCTGATCTATTCACAACCGGATATAATGGGCGCGTATTCATTGAACCAGAGAGTTGAGTAAGTTTCAAAGCAATACGCCCACTAACAGCGTTACACAAGTCCTTATTAGCAATAGATGTACAGCTGAGATAAATATTTATCAACGTATTAATATATTGCGCAAAATTCACGATAAAATATATATAAAAAATAATTTCACGTGTTTTTATTATAAACATGTTACTAATTAAAAGAGTGTGCTTTTGAAATAACAACATCGTGTCCAAGTGGAATGAGACGTTCATCATATGCTACACTTTGAAAATAACAAAGTACAACAGAAGTAACACACATGATTACGTTTACACATGTGTACATGCATCCCGCCGCTTTCAAGTAATTCAATAGAGTTCTTCAACGAGTGTTCCGAAATTTTCGAGATATTATTTCGGACTTGCAAAAAAGAGAAGCGTACATACTTACCATAGGGCCAGCTGATAATGGTGGACCGCAAGATTCGGTTGCGACGTGTCTTTGAGGAAGTTGGCGAAGTTGTAATGCATCTTGGCATTGTAGGGCAGGGACCGCAACCCGGCTCTGAAACAAGGCGATTTGAGGTCAGACGAGACCATCCAGCCGACCTCGACACGACCCTACATCACCCGCGTCATCCCGTATCTGCGTTAGTTATGTTTCGCGACCTCCATACATAGCCAATCGGTGTCCGCAGTATCGAGCTCGTGAACGTATATTCTATACAAAGCTGGCACCGCACCAGCCACCTTGTTTAAGTCGGGTCGAAACATTCGCTATAATGCTCACGGCATCTTCGCGTGACAAAATCATTTTTGCCGTGATTCCCGAATTTGCGATTGCGTGCGGAACGATGCGATTATGTATATTTGCCATTAGGCGCCGGGAACTTTATACAAAGTGTACTTTGTGCATACCGATCGACAAATACGCAAATGATTGTTCTCTACAACTTCCTGCAATGATAAGACACGACACTACAAAGTACATTTCATTTTTTTTTTTTTCATACTTGATTAAAGTTTCTCGAGATGTCCAATCGTTGTTTCGAACAACCGTTCTGTAACATCCCAAAACGAGAAGAAGAGCTACGCCCGCGGCGATCCAGCTTTTCCGTCGTGGCACGGCGGTCCAGCTCATCTGCATGCCGTAAACGACTAAAATGATCCATCCAACGCTGAAAAAGTTAATGGGAAATTTGTACTCGCTTGTTGATGACAATCGTTGTGTGACTGTAATGACAATTTGAAGATGTTTTACCTCGGCGTGTACAAAACTCGTTCAGCCACAACAAAACCCACAGTGACGAAGAGATTGGACGCAGGAAGAAACGGCAGTACCAGGAACATCCAACCGAGAACAAGAGGTGGATGTCTCTGTTGCTGAAAATAACAAAAACAGAAAGAAATATATGCAACGCGTTATTTCAAACGTTCGCTGATATAAGTAGAGAGAAGATTAAGATCTTTATAAGTACACCGTTTCTGCATCGAAATCTTTTGAAGAGTAAACTGCTACACAAGTTTCATCATCCTCTCCGGATGAGCGTACTCGATTAAAGTTTATACGCTATATAACGCAAGTTTATGCCGCTCTCACGTACAACTCCACGTGCAACTCGTTAAATTAGGTATGTTTGAATCATGCGTTTCTCGTGTTTTTTTTTTTTTTTTTTTTTTTTTGATTTGAATATGTTTAACGAGTGATACTCCGAACGATATTCCGCGCGATTTGTTGCGCTCGGTGACTTTTTATTTATAAACTTAGGGAAAGATATAGCTCTTCCGAGTTGCTGGGGAAAAAAACTTTCAAAGAACTCATAAATAAAAGTCATAAATAAAATGACGCAAAAGAAAGTCGCCTTAACGTGTTTTAAAACATTTAAACGCGCATGCCGCGTCTGCGAAGAAAGTACGGACAATTGCTCGGGGAAATATAAAACCCCACGATTAACGATAACACGTAGCAGTTTCGAGGTTTTCTCGAGAAATAAAGAGAGACAAACAGAAGTTTTCAGCTCATTCTTATCGTTTTTGTTTCGTCTGTCTAATCCACCTTGTAAAAATTTAAATAACAAAAGTGTGAGTGATTTGCACAAATGTAAATGTTGAAAAAGTAATAGTTTGAATCTTACATAAAAATCTTCGATAAAGTACTTAGTGAAAAAGATTGGAGAGAAAAGTCTTTCATAGTCATTGAATCTTTCAAGAGTCACAAGATACTTTAAGTTACAGACAGTGGCAACACAATGATTGAATTTTCTACATACAAATATCTCGTAGAAAAGAATCAGTTTAAACATAGATTTTTGCATAGAAGTTATGATAACGTTAGCTTTTAGCAAAAATCTTTAAATTCGAAACGTAATGTATATTGACATTCTGCGAAACAAATATTTTTTTATACTCGATATCCTGTTAACGATTTTGCAAAATAAGGCTTTTAAAAAACGATTTGTATATTAAGCCTTTAAAAAGAAGGATTATTGTCGAGAATAGATTGTGGAGAGACGACGTACAATAGCGCTGAGTAATATCAACATTGTATTATTAAACATCATTTATACTAACATATACTTTCTTTGATCTTATTAAGTCGACTATTCAATCTAAATAAATTGATTTTCATTATAATTCTTACACATCGTACGTTTTTTACAAGTTAACTTTTAAATCGAGAACAAATTTTATTATGTGTAACATCAGCGTTAACAAGCAATTGATCAAAATATTATTTTCCAAACCATTTTGCACAAACTGTGTATGCAATGTACGCAATTTGAAAACACACGTGTTAACGTGTTTTTGAAATTTTAATGAACATTTACCTCTACAATATATACATAATTTACATTTAAACATTTAAAATCACCGGCAAATTTAATTTTCCTGTTTAATTAACTCTTATATAATGTATTTAATTCACATTAATACTATATTTGTTTATAGATATAAATATTGCAAAATAATACATTGCAACGATGCATTTAAACAAGAAATGTAAATGTTGAAGACAATTTCTGTGTTTTTTCACACACACACACATACGTACAGATAAAAGTATTAAATTTATGAATCTGGACAACAATAATAAGAAAGATCAAGAAAATAATAAATCATATCCCGATACAAGAGTTAATCTCTCAAGAATCGAATTTTGTGATAACTTCGTTTCACGATCCGTTACAAGGATAATATTATTACATGAGTTCAGATAAACGTAAAATTGCTCAGTCGCGCGACCATTCGTAAAACTCCTCGCTCAAAAGCAAAGGCAATCAAGCAGTTAAATCTCTGCTGTCGGACGATTTTAGCAAATTATTCTTGTCTGGGTCATCATGTAATGCGGATATTTATAAACAGTCTTTCTATAGGCCATCAACTAACGCCGAAATAACGAGACATTCAAAGGCCGAAATTAGGTAACCGCGTCATTGTATATTTTTGATTTAACAGTTTGTGTTTACTCAAATTAAATGAATCGTCATTGCGAGGCAAATTCTACGCTTAATGTATTATTCGATTCCGCAGCACTGCTGATACCGAACGCTCGCGTGCAAAGTTATTACGCCAATCAGATCATCAGAAACGTCTACCGTCTGAAGCATAGATTATCTCGGCAGAGAAGCGTGAGCATAGGACAAATGGAATATTCCATAAACCTAGGATATCACATTGCACGCAGAGATCGTTATCAGATGAAGATGCGGGGAATGCCGGACTGCGACCGGCATAAGCCGCATGTTACATTCCCGTAAACCAGACGATACAAATCTCATTAAAATGAAAACATGCGAAATTATGAACTCTACAACAAACACACGTATCTAATTCTAAAAAAAATATTTGACTTTGAAACATCAAACGACATAAAGAAGTTGTGCGAAGAATTTAAATTTAAAATCATATTCGAACCTGGATTTGAACCGAAAGAGTCGTATACACATGGAATATCAAAGAAAACAAAAGAGAAAAGTTGTGTACACATAGAGTATCTAAGAAAACATAAAATCTACGACGATATTGATGAGGAGGATCCGAATGGCGAGGAGAAATGTGAGAAAGAAACAAAGATGGAATACAAACGATATTATTACGACACCGGAGATCGAGAATATCTTGTTTACGGTAAAACTGATGTTACTTTTTTTCAACACAAAAAATCGATACGGAATAGATTCTCCAGTTGACCAGAAGGAAGAGCAAAATATCAGGAACAAAAATAAACAGTATAACCTCGATGGGGTTCAATGTTCTACTATCTGTCCCATAACATCAGCAAAAATAGGGAAGGGAGACAAAGAAAACACAATCAGTGAACATGTTAATAACGAAACTTTCCACGGACACGCCTATGTGAAAACCTGTGAACATTGATAGTATTATCACCGAAGAGATCGGGAGTGTTGTCGCCAACAGTGCGATGTCATTCTCGTCGGGTTTATCTGATGAAAAAGGAAGGGAGCACATACACACAAATAAACGTGCTCGCGTCGCCATCAGTCGATGATGGATCGGGCGCGGTTTAAAACAAAAGCTGCAAACGAGCAGCACGGCCGTGCCTTGCGAAGGACTCACTTCGTAATTGATAATAATGCGACGTCAGCGGAGATTGAGATGGGTTTTAGTGGAATTAAAAGTCATCCACCGACCGATTTAACGTCGAGCCATTCATCGCCTCGTCTACTCTCAAAAACGCATCTGGGAAATCAAAAAATCCATCACGGTGCTAGGCCGCCGCGATACCGACACACAGCCGCTGATACTGTTCGCTTCGTTCGAAAAGAAGCGCTTGATAAATGCACGGATACTGATGGAACAACGAGATAAGAATTCAGAAAGAAATAAAAAAAAAAAAACCAAAGCTGCACAATAACAATGAGTTCAGTTCAGTTAAAAGCGAGTATTAACACAAATTATTCAGAAATTCCAGCGTCAGACGACTCGCGTGAAGAAGATAACATGAAAACACGAGGAACAACGCACGAGTTCGAAGAGAAATTAATTCTCCGCCGCGCGACGTAAAACGTCAATAGAAGTGATTGATATTGCGGATCACAACAGTGCTAAAGTATTAATGCCAGAATTTCCGGATTATAAGTTCAAGAATGTACATGCACGATGTAAATTACCTTAACTATGACGACGAAGAAATATGTGACGATCGAAACCTCGAGAATGAGAAATCTGATAAAATTGTTAAAAGAAATGATATTGTAAAACAAACCGTCTGATTTATGATAAATCTCGACCGATATTACGCCAAAAATAAATAATAACACATAGCCAATAATAGTTAACAATATAATCAGCAGGGTTTACGAGAATCGATATCAAACAACTCTTTCGCAGATGGTGCACGAACAAAACATATTTCTGACGCTCGCGGGAAAGATATAAATGTTAATACAAAACAAAAACTGCGCATCTATTAACTGAAAAAGCAATCTTTTCGTCGAAAACGCAAATCTATCAGATAATATTGAAAAACTTACAGATAAACAACAACAGATGTCAAATAACGCATCAAATAAAATATCTTCTACCTTGTTATAAAAACAAATATCGCGCTTACAGCAATGTAAGAAACAAGATAAAACTTATTGTTAGATAATAAAGTCTTTACATACACGTGACTAAAGTAACGTGACGTGACAGGGAAAAGCGGAAAAACAACACGTGATTACAGTAAAGTCACGTGACAGGGAGAAAAAAAGAACCAACACGTGACTAAATTTACATGACTTTACTTTTGTCACGTGTTGATTTACCCTTTTTTTCCTGTCACGCGTGACTTTAGTTTAATCACGTTTTTAAAAATACGTGTAACTCAAATACAGTCACGTGACTTCAATAAACATTATCAGATTTTATGATTTCACCTGCCAATAAACAATCACAAAGCAACTTGATGAAACAGATAACTCGATTTTCCAAGACAAGACAAGAAAAACAAAACAAGTTAAATTTATTGAAGTCTGAAAGCACTGTAAATAATTTAATGGAAGTAACATCTAATACAATTAACAATGCGTATCAAGACAGTTTATTGAAGAATGCATCAGTTATTTCAAATAAAAAAAAAAAAAAATAGACGGTTAACGAGTTCGAGTATAAAAACAGAAGTTTGAAGCTACATTTATTACATTTCACCTATAAAAACAGAATAAGCATTAACAATGCTGGCATAAACAATTTAATTAATTTCAGAACTTGAACAAAGACCTGAAAGGAACGAATAATGCAAATAAAATTGCATCAATAAAATTGCAACAATAAATGGTTTTAATAGCAAAAAAAAATAAAGCATTTAATATTGTTAAATAATTTATATAAAGAGATATTTTAACGCGATGAACGTACGTATATCATACATATATGCGCCAGAAATGTTAATAACATCATTAATATTAATTTTCAAATTTAGCGTCTTTAATTGATACTGTAACTCAATCGAAAATTGATTAAAAGTCCAAGTTATCTTGGACAATAATTAATTCAGTGACTTGTAATATTAGTATTACAAGTGTTATTAAGTTCTATACAATAAATAATAAACTTTAGTCAATCGTAGTATCTTTACTCGTATAATCGCACAATGAAAACAACTGCGATAAGCATTTACAGGATCAAAAGTCATTAATAAAAACCACACGTATAAACGTAACAAAAAGATATCAATTGTTTATTGGATAAATTGATAAATAATATAAACGTAATGATTAAAAACCAAGTGTTGAAAACGGTTTCCAACGTCAGACAACGAAATATCAAACATTTCTCAAATCGAACTTCAAAATAATGTAAAAACCGAAACTGTATCGTAGCATTGCAGTCTGAACGGCATGATTGAAATGTTCGAACGCTAGACAAGGCAATTACTTCAAACATACTGTTGTCAACGGGAGAAACAAACTTCAGTGAAATGCTGGTCACGAGTTATTGGAAAGCGTGACGTAAACTAACTCATCTACTGAAATGGAGCACGAACGTATTAATAACATTGTAAGAGCAAGTTTGGAAGCTTCTGCAAATACATTGCGATACACACCAATATTTTTGAAAAAGTCGAATCTCAAAAATCAATTAAAAATATATCAAAACTTAATTCACATAGAATCTGGGATGCAAATAAACAATGATCTAAATGTTCTGGAAATTTGGAATGCACGATTGCAACATTACAAACATAGAAACGTTGCAGCAAATATCAAAAATGTTTTAAGAATGTACCACAGAACAAATAAGTGCAAAAGAATTTATCATCCGATTCTCGTCACGTTACAAATATAAGAAATAAAAACGTAGTAAAAAAGAAATTGGCAAATATCACAAATACAATTGAATCAGGAAACGGAACGAGATCCAACGTTATTACAGATGATGAACGCAAAAGTAGTGTAACAACGGCTACATCGTTATCGAATTCACATGCAGAAGCGCAAACAGAGTATAATTTAAATATTCCGCGAGGATTGATAGAGACGTCATCCTCTAGTGACATAAAAAGTCGCGAAAAGGAAAAATATTGTTAACAACACCGCGCGAACAGAGTTTAAAGGCTGCCACAAACAGCGTATCATCAGCAGATGCGATATTTTTTAATAATGCCGAGAATACAAGTAGGTAAACAAGACTTGTTAAACAAATGTTATTATCTTTCAATTCGCACTTTGAAATCGCATGTAAATAAATATTTGTCGAATATTGCACGAAAAAATTGTTGTCGATGTCAAATGTTATCAAAATCATCATCAGCATTATTAACTTTAATTTTGTTGATACTCTTCAGGTAAACGTAAAGATCTTGTAAGAAATATTACACGCAAACTCAAAGATCAAAGAATAACGAGTAATAAAAAGCAACGACTAAAAAAAAAGATATACGTATACATGGTGATGAACATGCTGCAAAAAAATGCTGTTAGAAAAAGTAACTTCAGCAGCATTAAAAATGAGCAACACGATAATTTATTAAAAACGATATTGCTGATTAATTTGTTTTCTAACATACAAAACGTGCAAAAAACTAACTCAAATGCTCTTGAAAAACACCATCCGGATATTCGAAAATGTTTTCATAGTCAAAATATCATCCGTAAAAATAACTTTGCAAGAATCGATTGAAGTAATTCTTATGAAGCGAAATCTCTAGCATGCAGCATGTAAATTATATATGAATGTTTTAAACAAGAATTATGTGTATATTATCAGTTCAAATATACTAAGCGCAAACAATGATTTTCAGTAATTAAGATTGCAAAGAAGAATAATTTATTTCAGTTGACATTGGCAATTTCTAATTTGTATGAAAAAGCACAGATAAACAACGAAGTTATATTTTTTCTTATAAAGATATTATTAAGAATGGAAAAGTCGATTTTCAAAGAAAATAAAAAAAGTCACCGTTAATTTATCAACTTTAGAAAAAGCGAGAATGTGCAACAAAGTCCGAAGAGCTCATTCAAATGACTAGCTGGTTACAACGTCAAGTGCTGCCACTCTTGCGGAAGAACGTACTCAAAATAAGGATAAAGTTTAATGTTTTGAGAGAAGCTAAGAAAGTTGCTGTCTGTACGCACGCGCGTCAACCGCTAACAATATTGAAGACGAGCGACGTGATACGCATGCGAAAGATCGACTATCAAGATAGTGAAAAGCACTGCAAAGAAAGTTAAAAAGATGTTGTCACTGTTTTAGATGCTTAAAAAATCAGGGTTCCGAAGCTTAAACGTGAAAGCAAAAATATTTAGAATATAAGAAAAGTTTTTGAATATAAGAAAATTGCGGCATAAAATTATATGTTATTCTACACACATTTCTCTTTAAAACGGATATTAAGCAAGCGGCATAATAATGGTAAAGTCACATTAATGAAAAAGAATCCCGAAGGACCTCTTCAACTCTCGAGAATCGCGTACCGCCGCTTATTGCATATCGATTAATACTACGGAAGATATATGAGAGAGAATATAGCACAATAATAGCGAATAAGCAGATCTTCTGCACCGATTGTCCGCTCGCGAATAATTAGAACAACTAAAAAAAATATCGCAAAAAATGTTACGGTACACGATATTTATCGCTTGAAACTAATTTAGTATTTTTTATTTTTATTTTTCTACATAAATATTTGTTATACCTGCTGAATAGTTATTTTAACACAATATCTTACATGTGTTACATCATTTATGCATTTAATATATGCGTCATACTTTATTGAAAATATATGCAAATTTACATTTCAGGATTAACGTTTCGTGCGACGATTAAATATAATAAATATAATAATATATAATAACGATTAAATATAATACCATCAAAATATAAATAAATATAAGTAAATATTGAAAACATTAATATATATAAATTTGTTTTCTGCCTTGTAAACATTTTTTGTTATCAGATAAAATTTTATAAAAACTATATAAATAAAGATTTTGCTCGCGCACATACACGTACATATGTATAAATAAATAAATAAATAAATATATATATATATATATTTCTCCAAGCATATAAGAATGTTATGTACTAAAATTTTACGTATTTTGTGAGATAAAAAAAAAAATTATAAGCTTTGGAACAAAATGTGCGACATTACTAAACGTCGTATTCGTATATTACAGTGATGAACAACGATAAACCTGATAAAACGATCTTTGTTTTCTGGAGCGGTCGCGCAAACGAACAGATTGCTCCGTGCGTGTGAGTAAAGTTGACCTCGTTCGCGAGAAGATGTCCGTTTCTATTTCGCGTTTGCGAAGAGCCGACTCGCCGCCGGCAGATAAAGCGTGCGAGGCGACATTAAAGCCGCAGATATGACCTGTTTGAGGAAAAGTGGCCGTGCAATACCAGACGGCGAACTTTAAAGAGGTCATTACGCCGAAGGCACAGCGCAGTTTACTGACGATCTTGAAGATGCAGGAAATAGATGCGTTTTACCAGAGATACACGAGCTTATCGTTTGACTTGGAGTTTGTCATGTGATTACCGCGAAAGTTCCTTCATGAAGCCTCGAGCGCAGTGCAATTTCGTCATTGTCGTCTATGTCGACTATCGGAAAGCAACAGGAACTGGAAGTACGGAGTACTACGTTCTCTGTTCTTGTTGCGTCAGACGGTTGCCAGTTGAACCGTTTAACCGCAATCTGACATTTCGCACAGACGACAACCGGTCATTCTGTTTTTACGTTCTCGCAAGATGGTCGAGAACGTCAGCGAATTCGCGATACCGGCCACTTGAAAAAAAAAATAGCTTCTTTACAATACATTACCTCGACGCGCTAAAATAAAAAAACTCGCAATTTTGTCGCATCTCGTCAAACTACGACCCCTCTCTCTCTCTCTCTCTCTCTCTCTCTCTCTCTCCCTCTGCGGTTTTATCCGATCAAGAAAAAAAATAATGTGATTTTTTAAAACGATTGAGAGATCCTAGAAGGAATTCTGATGCAGCGGTAATTTGTAATTTTATTTTACCGGAGTCCGTCAGCGATTCAGCGAACAACGTTCGCGAAAACATTGCGCAAACTTACCTCGAAATCCGTGAAGGCTTTGTACGTGAGCACCAGACACCCGCCGAAGAATATAAAAGTAGCCAGATTTCTGGTGTCCGTGAAAGACGTAACCAGAGGAACGGATCCCATTTGCCAGTCATGCGAGAGTATAGCCGGACACAGAAGCAGCCAGCAGTTCAGCGCCGCAAGGTAGCAAAAAGTCAGTAATCTGTAACCAACAACAACAAATATGATTAATTTATTTGCGGTAATTTATTTGTGAATAAAGTTGAAGTTAAATTCATCATCATAAAGAAATCGTCGAAATGAAATTTCAATTATTATGCAAATAACATCATTTGATTGAAAACCAGCTCTTCTTCCAAGAGATCTGACGTTGACGCACAAGTTTGTCGCTCTTTGATGTCTAGTTTTTTTCCTCGGAAAATTGGCCGCTCCTTTGTCACGACGGAGGCGAGTTCTCACGACCAGTATTGTCCTCTTGGCACGAGCTGAAGAGGTCGGCCAATAGGGGCTGGAGTGGTACCCTCCAGTTGCTGACACCGAGGTTCCATTTTCTCACTATCAGCATCTACCGATATAATCACCCCGATATAATGCTCGCCCACGGTATCTCCACGGCAGGCGTCTGTGCGATCTTCGACGGAGGGGGATATTCTCGGTGTATCGTAGCTCGCTCGCTGAAACGACGGCTTACTCGGCAAGTCTATTGTCTCGCGAACAAGCCCCGCGCACACAACGCACGGGCCCGCATAACGCGTCCGGTAAATATTCTCCGGTGCCGTTGTGAGTGTTAATTCCGACGGGCTCATGAGTCTTTTCTAATTGTTCCAGGCACCAGATGCGACGTCACCCAGCATTGGCTCTATTCATCGAATAGTCGAAAAGTAAACGAGTAGCAACTGAGCGTAAGAGATTCTCACTCTGTCTCTTTCTCTCTCTTTCTTTCTCTTTCTCTCTCAATAAATTGCCCGGTTGTTACAAGAGAGTACGAACTTATCAGTGTGCAAAGATAAGAGCGACTATCACAAATTACGACGGAAATTTATATATAACGCACGCGTTACGCGAGAACGTTAAATATCACCGAGCTTTAAATAAATTTCACCGTGCACTACACTTTTGCGATAAAAAGAAAAAAAAACTGTCTAACATCCCGTCGGGGAATATGATTATTTAGTGGGTTTTAATGAATCCGCGCGACTTTCTTCTAATACCACGTCAAAACGAAGCGTGAGAAAAATGTGAATGTAGAGTAACTGGGCGATTATTCCCTTGGTGCAAGAAAAATCTACATTCCGCGGTCCAGACGATTCTTCTAAATGTCTCGCGATTTAACGACCTTAATCCCTTTATTATTTCATGCTTGAGCATGTACATGTCGCGCTGCTAATTAATATCCATCTCACGAACAATGAAAAACGCTATGCGGCCCAAAAAAAAAAAAAAAAAAAAAAAAACGAAGACAATAATGTATCACGGCTCTGAACGTCTTTTTTCCGCGCATAATTTTTCTTGTCGCCGACTATCTATACTTTTATTTTGTCGAAATGATTGATGAAGACGTTTTCTGCATCGCGAATTCGCGGTACGAGATCGAAAATCACGAGAATGAAAGACGATCAGGAAACGCCAAAATAATAATTTGTGGCATATATCAGGTAAGGTCGCGCGTACTGTCATACGAAAGAATTGGATTTTCCCGAGAAAACGGTCGCGCGGCAGAAGGGTGACATATACCTGCACGTCTACTCTTTAGAAATCGCAGGTATTACAGAGGTTGCTATAAATCTGGGAAGAATATTTCTCAGATTTGTGGACTCTTTCATGGAACTTCCGTAGACTCCAGTCCAGATATCGACTTTTTTCGGATATTAAGGTTTTTCTCGACTCTGTGCCGAATAAATAAAGTCGAACAATGGAACAGTCAAAAAACTTAGAACTCTCTTCCGTATTTGTACATTTGTTTTTCATTTTCTTAATTTATATGTGACGTTTTTTCGGAGATTTAATTTTTTCATAACAGATATAAATTGTTCTAATTGATAGAAAAACAAATTAATCAATCAGTTCAATTAAGACCATTTCAGTAAGACTGTTCGCGCGCTAGACACCGTTTCTTGTTGGTCCTACGATCGTTTGTCAAGGCAAGCAACCTCAGAAAAAGCTTTTCTTTTTAGAGCCGTCATTCGCGTAGAAACGCGATGTCATTGGCTTTTAATCGTACCGTTCCATCAATTTACCCTCTCTTTCGCACATTCACAGACGTTCTCTTTTCCCTCCACACTTTCGTGACACGCGGATATCGATCCTGTCGATGTTCATAAGCGCTAAAGTTTGCCGTTCATGTTTTCGAGATCTTAAACACATACTGTGTTGAGCTCTCCTCAAATTACGGGCAATCCGAGTCTTTGATTCCTTACTTACGATAATCCACGGTCAACGGCATTATAACATATTATACATCTTTAAATTACAGACCTCGACAGCAATAATAAAATACATACTCGTCAATATGTTTACAAACATTCTCCGAAAATGACAATTTCTCGAAGCGTCTCGATGCGATCAATCACAGTCGAGAAATTCATGAAACCGTGTGCAAAGTGGAAACTTGAATCGACGCTCGCGTGATAAGTTCTTCTCACCCATCGTCCGTTCGTCTTGCCGTAGCGGCACGTAAGAACTTTGATCTCCCGTACATGCTTTTGAATTCAGATGAAAGCAATTTCCCTCGATTACCAGGCGGAGGTGCGAGATAGGCCGCGATCGATTCGCACGTGTTCCTAAGCATTCGCTTGGTGATTTCGAAGCGAGATTTATTGCATGCATAATCACGTCGGCTTCTAAGCACGCGAATCGCCGGCATCATTTTTCCACGTCAAATTTTTCAGATAGTCACCCCATTTGCATAAATGCAATTTCCAAGCGCGAAGTCACGCATCGTGTAATTAAAAACGTATGCATATCTGCAACAATTTGTTGGCAATGCTTTTCGCACTATGTGTCCAGATTAAAACGTAAACGTAAAATAATATAAGTCCGCCTGTGATCTACAAAACACAACAAAAAAAAAAAAGAAGGTTTACAAGTTCGTTTAGAATTTCAGAAAAATAACATTATGTTCTCTCTCTCATTCCTGTTTACTCTCGTGTGACATCGAACTTTCGCAACGCGTGAATGAAATTTAGACGCTTCAGCAGATAATAAATTATCAATCTTCACAAAGAAAGAGAGACGAGACAGCGCACTTTGTTTCGGGACAGCTCGTATTACGTGAATAATCGCGACTGTCGCTCTGAATCGTTATAACCGAGAGGAATAAATTGCGCACGTCTGAATAATGTTATATCACTTCATAAATTATCTCTCCCGCGTATAGTGAATAATTTCACGTTGTATCTTTCGCGCGCGTTTTGTGCGAAATCATCTCGCGCCGAATGATCTAACTTTTCTCATCTTGGTTTATCTTTATGAGAAGGATATGTCTTCTCAGAAAAAAAAATTTGCGCGTAAAAAAATCCTCTTTGCGCGCGCGCACGGTTGCGAAGCGACCGTTTGCGAGAAACGACGCGACATCGGTGAGAAGAGCGACCGTACGGCAAGAGGTCTCTGTAATGGGAGTTTATTGGCAATTAATCTTGCAAGCCGGATGTGCCCGCTTCGTCGGGCACGATACACTTCCGTCTCAGCGAGCGACCGGTAAACCGAGAAGAGATGTATTGCGCCGCCGTCCCGCGTACGGAATCAAACGTACATTCCTCCTCTCCGTTTTCTCCCGTCGATGCCGATCCCTCGGTACACGCGCCGTGCGTCTTTGTCAGTCGCGCCGGAAGTGCATTGTTGCCAGAGTACCTCCGGTACTCGCAAGATGCCCATCGGTCTGATCGAGCGCGCTTACGTACGTAAGTGGCACTACCACTTTTCGCATAAAAGTTCATTGTATCCGAAGCGCGCATCCGTTTCAGTGAGATATAAAGCATGAATATAGAAAACATGGAGATGGATTTTCTATTAAAAAAAAATCCAAAACGTCTCTTTTTATTTCAAACCAAAAAAAAAAACAAAAAAAAAAACAAAAAAAACCCATCAACAACACTTGTGAATCGAAAAAACATTGCGGCTTCATCGGGCTCTTGTGACAAAAAGTAACAGTCTTGTTACATGTCAATAGATATTGTGCGATGAAATATGTTCAACGTGCCACAAAGAAATACTCCGGAACGTTTATTAAACAAGCCACTATCACAACGGCGCATGTGAATCGAAAAAAACATTGCTAGCCTGATATGATAGGTATTCTGTATTATATGTCAATAGACAGTGCACGTTCTGTATTTCTAACGCAAGAGTATCGATTTTCTTTAAAATTTAATAGTTCGATTTTGTACCGGTGGTTTCACGAAGAGAACAATAGCACGCTTCAGCACATTGTTTCCGTAAATAGCCGCAGCAAATTCCGTCAACAAATTTTGTTCCGTTCAATGATCGGATCCGCGATATTGCGGTTTGATTTTCAATCGACGCTCTCCGTTCCAGGTGATATAAACACCGCGTCGAATTCGAAAAAGGTCGCGCTTGGTTATTATTTGTTATCAGAATTGTCAACGAATCACCAATCACCAACAGCTGCTGTCACGAGTAATCATATTTGTGCGAAATGATTTATCGTCATCGGCACCATTATATATATTTTTAGCGCGCCAAAATGACAAGTGCCGCTTGCCGAAACTGCGAAGCGTCCCCGCTAAATCCTTTATGTTCCCCTTTAATCGAGCAAGTGTGAAAACGGAAATAGATCGAACGTCTGAATGGCGCATATGAGACGCCGCACTCAACCCGATCCGCGTTTTCCGCTTAAATAAACTCTTCCCTTCTCGATTCCCGACTTTTCGTCGTTCCACGCTCGTATCGTCGTCGTAGACGTAGCTCTTCGACAACGGGGACTTCTTTTTCTCGTCGTTAACGATCGCGTTTCGTATTAGTTCGACTCTCTCGAGCCGTTTTAATTGAACGTGCACGCGAACACATCGCGGGAGTCTCCTCCAGACCGTAAAGAGAAGAATAATTACCGTCTGCGTTGCTTAGAGTCGTGTTTCGGGATATAAACGCGAAAAACGTGCCTCGCTCACGCCGGCAAACTCATGAAAGATTCCTGCTTAATTAAGAGCACGTTCGATCGAGTGGCACGCAAAGGGATTCGTTATT